CCCAGCTGCTGGGCAGCGATGGCTGCAGCCTGCTGCAGCTCCAGGCCCTGCTGTGCGGCCACCTTGTGCTTCTCCTGCCACTGGCTTAGCTCCTTCCTCAGGCGCTGGAGCAGTTCCCTGGGAGTGATGGGCAGGGCTGAGGGATGCCTGGCCTGGGGCTCAGGGCTGAAGCAGACGCCCGGAGGCCGGGCCCTACCTGCTCTGCTGGGCCTCTTGCTGGCTGGTGGTGGCCTGGTCCCGCAGCACCTGCAGCTCGGCCTCGCGGCGCCGCCCATCCTGCTGGAGCAGCACAGCCTCCGCCTGGCACTGCCGCAGCTGCTCCTGCACGCTCTGCAGGCTCCCCTGGGCCAGCAGTGCCCGCTCCTCCTGCTGCGCCCGCGCCGCGGCTGCATAGGGACAGTGGCGCAGGTCTGTGCCCGCTCGGCTGTCTCCAGCCTGCCCCATGTGGCCCTGAACCAGCTGGGGGCGGGAGGTGCCCCAGCAGGGAGCAGGGGAAAATTGGGAATACCTAGTCTCTCTCTCACTCACACACACACACACACACACACACACACACACACACGTAGGTGTGTGCATATATCTAGTCACAAATTGATGGCTATACATATACAGACACATACACACAGAGCTATAAATAGGTACACATATGCGTGTGTGTGTGTGTGTGTATACGCACAGGTATCTATGTGTATGTGTATGTAAGTGTGTGTGCAGATCTAGTCATAGAAAGATGGCTATACATATACACACTATATATATGAATAGGTACACTGTGTGTGTATGTGTGTGTGTGTGTATGGGGCACACTAAGTGTGTGTGTATGCACAGGTATATATATATGTGTGTGTGTGTATGTACTTACATACATATGGGTAAGTGTGTGTGCCTACACACACACACACACACACACACGTGTGTGTAGCTCTAGTTATAGAAAGATGGCTATACATACACACACATATTATATATATATGAATAGGTACACGTGTGTGTGTGTAAGGGGCACACTGTCAGTGTGTGTGTGTGCGCGCGCGCAGGTATGTATATATATATATATATATGTACTTACATATGGGCAAGAGTGTGTGTGTGCCTACACACACATGTGTGTGCAGATCTAGTCATAGAAAGATGGCTATACATACACACACACACACACACACACACACACATATATATATATATATATATGAATAGGTACACACGTGTGTGTTTGTGTGTGTATGGGGCACATTAGCTAGCTGTGTGTGTGTGTGTGTGTATTAATATACATACATGCAGGTGAACTAGAGTGTGTGTGTATGTGTGTGCGTGTGCACGCGCCTGTATATACACACACATACACGTGTGTGTACCTATTCTAGATCTAGTCACAGAAATAGATGGCTATACGTGTACACAGTGTACACAGAGATATATGGATATGTACACATGCATATGTGTGTGTGTGTGTGTGTGTGTTTATATACAGACACGGATGAGAGAGTGTGTGCACGTGCCATATACACACACGTGTGTGTGTGTGTGTGCAGTCACTCCAACTTTACTGGGGGGGTGATGGGGGAGGGGAATAGGAGGCTACTCCAAAAAAGGTGCCCAACCCCGAAATGGGTTTAGAGCGGACTGTGCTATAAAAGGGCCCTGGGTGGTAGCAGCAGGATAGACAGAGATGATTTTCAAAATCATGTGCAATAATAAAAAGCAACTTCAGCCCCTCCGGCATTGCCAATCTAGCCTAATTGGTGCCCCGCCCAACGCTCCAGTCCTGAGACAGTTGCCACACTGATACCTAGGGGTGGATCCAAGGAGAGTGCTATACATATACACACATGTACACACACAGCTATATGAATAGGTACACACGTGTGTGTGTGTGTGTGTGTGTGTGTGTGTGTATCAAGTCACAGAAATAGATGGGTTTACATATATACACGTACACACAATATGAAAAGGTGCACATGCTTATGCATGTGTGTGTGTGTGTGTATACATAAATATGGGTGTGTGTGTGTGTGCGCTAATACACACACACACACACACACACACACATATATATATATATATAAACACACAGGCATAAACACGTATGTATAGATCTAGTCACAGAAATAGATGGCTATAAATATAAATACGTGTACACACAGCAATATATGACGAGGGACACAGATGCATAAATATGTGTGTTTGTGTATATGCGCAAGGGTGACTATATACATATGTATGGGTTAAAGAGACCGTGTGTGTGTGTGTTTGTATATCTAGTCACAGAAATAGATGGTTATACATATGCACACATGTACACAGAGATATATGAATAGGTACACACATGGGGAGGTACACACATGCATGTGTGTGTGTGTGTGTATGGGGCACACACTATCTATATGTGTGTGTATTTATATACATACATATGTGAGAGAAAAAGAGAGCGTGTCTGCCATCTCTCTCTATATATCATAGTACTTAGGGTCGGAAGGGACCTAAACAGTTCATCAGGTCCGACCCCCACCATAAAGGGCCACTGGGGCAGGGGGCACACCAGGCACCATCCCTGGTTGGGCTTGAACCACCAACCTGCTGGTTAATAGCCGAACATGCTGCGTCATTGTGCCACAGCCAGACTGAATCCAGATGTTTGGTGGGCCCATGGCTGTAGTCATATAAGTGCTGGGGAATCGAACCTAGGTCTTTCACGTGGTAGACAAGGATGGTACCACTGGATCACGGGACTTCTGTGCACGCACGTGTGCACACACACTCTCTCTGTTGGTGTGTATTTATATACATAGGTATGGGTGGAAAAGTGTGTGTGTGTCTATATATGTGTGTGTATCAAGTCACAGAAATAGATGGTTTTACATGCATGTGTGTAAGTGTGTGTGTATGGGGCACACACTATGTGTGTGGTTGTGTATATATACATAAATATGGGTGAGAGAAAGATTGTGTGTGTATGTGTATATCTAGTCACACGAATAGATGGCTATAAATACACACATATATGTACACAGCAATATATGAATAGGAACACAGGTGCATATATATATATATGTGTGTGTGTGTGTATGAGGCATACTATATATATGTGTGTGTGTGTGTGTGTGTGTGTGTGTGTATGCATGTCAGTGGGTGTGTATTTACACATACGTACAGGTGAGACAGCGTGTATACACACGTGTGTGTGTGTGTGTGTGTATAGCTAGTCACAGAAATAGATAGCTATACTTATACACACGTACACACAGAGATATATGAATAGGTACACACATGCATGTGCGTGCGTGCATGCGTGTGTGTATGGAGCACACGCTATCGGGTGAAAGAGCTATATATATATATATATATATATATACACACACACACACACACACACATATACGTGTGTGTATGTCAAGTGACAGAAATAGATGGCTATACATGTACACACAGAGCTACATGAATAGCTACACACGCATGTCTGTGTGTGGGTGGGCACACACTAGTATCCATCTATCTGTCTCTGTGTGTGTATACCCATGCAGATTTGTGTGTATTTATATACATACAGATGGGTGAGAGAGAGGGAGTGTGTGTGTGTGCCTATACACACACGCGTGTATGTGTATATCTAGTCACAGAAATAGATGTCTATACATGTACACAGAGATATATGAATAAATGCTTGTGTGTATGACATGCCTCTGTGTGTGTGTGTGTGTGTGGGGGGGGGGGGCACACACTATCTTTTTAGGGGGGGGCGCACACTATCTATTTATCTGTCTGGTGAGTGTGTGTGTGTGTGTGTGTGTGTGTGTGTTCCTATACACAAACACACACACACACACAGATATGCACCCATACATACACACACTTATATGTCACGTCACAGAAATAGATGGCTATTCATATACACACATGTACACATAGAGCTATATGAATAGGCACCCACATATGTGGCACTCTGTAGTATCTACGTATCTGTCTGCGTGCATGTATGCCCACAGGTATATACATACATACGAGACACACGGATACGTGTCTATATGCATATGTGTGTGTGTGTATCTAGTCACAGAAATAGATGACTATACATATACACACATATGTAAACAGATATACAAATAGGTACAGACATGCATATATATATATATATATATGTGTGTGTGTGTGTGTGTATAGCACACTATGTCTGTGTTTGTGTGTATTTATATACATATGTATGGGTGATAGTGTGTGTGCGTGCACCTATACATAGAGACAGAGAGAGAGAGAGAGAGGGGTGCACGCACACGCTTTGTGTGTGTATATTTAGTCACAAATAGATGGCTATACATTTCCACACGTCTGTACACAGAGATATATGAATATGTACACATGCATGTATGTGTGTATGGGGCACACTATAGGTGTGTGTGCATATATTTATATACATACATATATATATGGGTGAGAGTGTGTGTACCTATACACACACATACATATCTATCACTATCAGTCTATCTAGCTATATAGCTGTGTGTGTGTGTGTGTGTGTGTGTGTGTGTATACATGCATGGGGGTGTGTGTATTTCTATACATATATGTGTGAAAGAAAGTGTGCGCCTATACACACACATACATACATGCACACGTGTGCGTGTTTGTAGCTGTATATGTAGCACACACTATGTTTGTGTGTGTATTTATATACATATATATGGATGTGTGTGTGCCTACACACACAGGTATGCAGAAACACACACTCATTCTCCCTTTCACCCATATATATGTATATAAATACATGCCATGTATATTTATACACACATATACAGTGTGTAAATAGGTATGTGTATGCATGTGCCATGTGTGTGTTTGTCTTTGTGTATAGGTAGTTTGTGGGGCACACACTCTCTAAATATATAGATATATGTATATGCATGTGTGTGTGTGTGTATATATGTATATACAGGGGTTTAGGTTGTATATGGATATACACACACATATGTACATGCAGGCGTGTGTGTGTGTGTGTGTATTTAGATACGTATTTATGGGTGGGTGAGAGAGCACAAGCAAGCAAATGTGTGCATGTATGGATCTGCATGTGCACCTACACACACAGCGTATGTATACACACACACACACACACGAGCATGTGTGTGTGTGTGTATAGAAATAGATTATAGGTGTGCATACACACACACCTATATATACATACACACACACACAAACACATGCTCACACAGCTGTGCACAAACATGCACACCTGTGCATGCATGTATATATGTCTGTGGTGTGTTTGTGTGTACATTTTATACAGCCACACAGCTTATTTTTATATTCATAGACTGTAGACACACACACACACACAAAATGTATGTACATACACACACATCTATATACATTATATATACACAAAGCTCATATTTTGCTCTGTGTGTGTGCGTGTGTACAAGGAGCCCTGGGTGCCAGGAGCTGTGTTGTGCTGCAAGCACACGTGGTGGGGGTCGGGACAGGGCTGGGGGTGCGGGGCACACTCATGCTGGTGCAGTGCGTGGCACAGCCCCTGCTCCGTGCCCCTGGCGGGGGCTGAGCTCCCCAGGTTTCTGTGGCGGGGGACGGGGATGGTGGGTGGTCCTGGCCCCGGCTGTGCTGTGCTGATGGGCAGGGCCGGGGGTGCCATCTCTTCTGTCTTGGGTGCTGCTGGGCAGTGGGGCAGACTCCGGGTGTCCCTGAAAGTGGGGTGGGGGCTGCCAGACCCCACGGGCAGCTGGCAGCGCTGGGGGCCCTGGCATGGGGCAGCGCCCATGGGGGGGGTGGCGGCCGCTCACCCTCCTGCTGCAGGCTCTCCCGCAGCCCCTGCAGCTCCTGGCGTAGCGCCGCGCTTGTCCCCGCGCTCTGCTGCTGCTCCTGCTGCATGCTAACCTGCGCTGCCCGTGCCTGCGCCAGCTCCGCTCGCACCTGCCGCAGCTGCTTCTCACGCCGTTGCATGGCCTAGGGGAATAGGGGCCAGCACGTGCTCCTGTGCACACGCGAGCCCAGCCTACCCTTTCCCCACCCTCACATCCTCTTCTGCTGCCCTCCAGGCCCTGCGCTCCGCCCCGGGGCCGATGCTGCAGGCCATAATCGTGCCCCTTCAGCTGCTGGGTGTCTTGGTGCACCTGGCTCTGGCCAGGGACCAACATGGAGGTAACGGGACTGCACCTGCTGCAGGATCCCGTGAGCCAGGTTGGGCGAGGTGGTGATATGCTCCTGTCTCAACTCAACTTTCCACCTCAAACGTGGGTTTCTGGAGGGATTTTTGGGCCCCAGGGCAGATGGGTGATGGGGTGGTGTGGGTTGGAGTAGGGCCTGGCACCCTGGGACTGGTGGGGGTGGGCCCTGCTCCTCCCTCAGGGTTTCTGGAAGGGGGGAGAGAAGATGGAAGCAGTGAGCTACGGCGAGAGGGGAGAGGGAGATAGAGGGGAGAAAGGAGAGAGAAGTGTGCGAAGAGGAGGGGAAAGGAGAGGAGCATGTGTGCACGTGTGTGTGCGCGCGCACGCACGCCGGTGGAGCCCACCGAGGCCCGTGGGTGAGGCGCAGGCCATGGCGAGGTTGGGTGCCTGCTTGTGGCACGGAGGGCAGGAGCTGAGTGCAAGTGAAGCGACAGAGGCCAGGGTAGTTTGAGCCTTTATTTCCTGTTGTGGCTTCCCCGGGCCGGCGGTGGTCTCCTCTCTGACCCAGCCTGTCTTCGTGGCTACGGCCAGGCAGGCACCACCGCAGCTGTGGACTGTGGGCTCCACGCCTGCCTTGGCTGTACCCCCAGGGAGCTCCAGAGAATTGGCAGCTCGCACTTCCTCGCCCTGCCCCCCTGGGCCCCAAGGCAGATTGCTGGGGGTGGGCTGGGGGACATCCTGCCCCAGCTCCTGCTGACCTGGGCCCTCTGGGCGCTGCGCTGGTGGCTCTCCTGCAGCTGCTGCTCCAGCTGCTGCACCTGCTGCTGCCGCTCGGCCGCCTCCAGCTGCGTGCGCTCTGCCTGGGCGGCCGCGCTCTGCCGCAGGCCCCGCAGCTCCAGCTCCAGCACTTCTAGGTCTGAGAACGCTCTGGGCACAAGCTGCTCCTGCCCACCCTGCACTTGGGGTGGGGGGCCCACATGCGTTGCCCCACAGGGTGTGGGTGCCTCTGGCCTTGGCCCCCACTGCCCCCAGGTGCTGAGGGCCAGCAGCCGCAGGCAGGGCAAGGAAAGGGGGACCTGCTTCACACTGGGCAGGGGAGGCCCGGAGCCAGCTCCCCAGCTCCTGGCAGAGGCCGAACGCTCCCCTGGCCCGGCTGGGCCCACAGGGGCAGGCAGGGGAGCGCTGCAGGGCGTAAAGAGCAGCCATTACCTCTCTTGGTGCTGTGCTTCTGCTCTGCCGCCCGCTCCAGCTGCAGCTCCCAGTCCTGGGCCAGGCGCTCGGCCTCCTCTGCCCGCTGCTGATGCACAGTGCTCTCCACCTCCAGCTCCAGCAGCCTCTGCACATGCAGCACCATGCCATCAGCACAGTAGCTGGAAGCCAGCGCCCTGGGGCCCCCAGGCCAGGCCCGTGAGGGGAGGGGAGGGGCGCGGAGGGGAGGGCAGGCCTCCCTACCTGCTGAAGCGCCGTGGCCTGGAGAGCCAGGCAGTCATAGCTGGCATCGCTGTGGCTGTGAGCAGCCCCATTGGAGGCAAACTCCGACTGAGCGTCCCTCAGTGCCACCGCGCCTGCCGCCACCTGCATGCACCAGGGCCGTGAGGAACGGGGGAGCAGACATGGCCCCAGGATGGAGAAGGCAACAGGCAGCGAGACGTATGGGAGATGGGACCGCGGGAAGGACGACGCTGGGCACCCGGATCCAGTGGGAAAGACAGGGCTCTGACAATGCCCCACGCCCAGGGCCTGGGCAGGAGGCCAGGGAGCAGAGGGCTCTCTGTGCCTGGATGTCTCCAGACCCAGCTTGCAGGCCCACCAGCTGCGCACTGCCAGTCCGCACGGACTTCGCTGCAGCAGCGCATGGCATCAGGCCGGATCCGCGGGGCGATGGCGGGGGTCGGCCTCACGCAACCCTGGGTGCAGCTGGGGGCCTGCAGACGAGCCACGCTCTGGCCCCGTCCCTGCTGCCCAGCCTCGGCGTGATGCTGCACCGGGGCTGGCAGGAGGCGCGCCCGCACTCCTGGCTCTTACCTGGCTGTGGCTGGCAGCCAGCTGCTCCCGGAGCCCCTGGGCCTTGTCCTCGCACTGCTGGGCGTGCTGCCGGCTGTGGGCCAGGTCCTCCTGGGTGGCCTGGAGCTCTTGGCGCAGCCGCTCCACGGGCTCCTGCGCCCGGCTCCTCACAGCCAGCCGCTCCCTCCGCCAG